CGTTGTAATAAATATGGCGACAAAGATGAGGACAATAGTGCGAATAATGTAAATAGTGATTATCATCTGAATCGCACATAAACAAACTAGAATTGTGATACCCTTACAATATTTACGTTAGGCTTAGAATCCCCGTATTTTGGGGGTTTCTTTGAGTTCAAAACGCCATAAATTATACTAACGCTGCTCAACGAGTTAAATTGACTTGAATTCTGATTAACCAATGAAAATCAAACAACAAAAAATAAAAAATACCAGAATTTTTTTCTTCTTTTTTTTTCTCCATCAGGGATAGAGCATATGTAAATATAAAAGTTGACATTGAGGTCAACACCCAGCGGCGACAGTCTGTTTCATGCTTAAACGCAAATCTCAGGCCATAGGAGTATTCACTAAAAATAACATTTAAAGTGATAAAAATCTGTCGGATTAAAAAAATTAGAAAATGCATCCTCTTTCTTTATAAATTCATATATATATATATATATATATATATATATATATATATATATGAAAATATATAAATATAAATTTCTGCTTAAAAAGTTTAACAATTATTTTAATTTTTTATTTATACATTATTTTTTATAGATAAAATATTTAAGTAAATGAAAATTTTTATAATATTCAGGCCGGTAAATTTACGAGCCTATGAAAATTTCTCATAAAATTCAGGCCGGTAAATTTACTTAAACTGTTGTATAAATAAAAATTTTACTATATAAACATAAAAATGTCGTATAATAAACTATATATATGTATATATATATATATATATATATATATATATATATATATATATATATATATATACATGAAAGTGGATATTGAGCTGTCTTGATAGTCATTTTCATGGTTTCATGCCTCAGTGTCAACATTTATATTTAAATATGCTCTATCCACTTTAAGAAAAAAATATAGCACACCTTAAAACTATATTTTTGATCATATATATATATATATATATATATATATATATATATATATATATATATATATATTATTGAAATAGGATCAGAATCCGACAGGATACGAAACAATTAGGTCTTTCATAAAATTTAACATGCAGTTTTTTTATTGAAGCTTCATCACCATTTAGAAATATATGAAAGGCTCCGCCAGTCAATTATCCGACGGGTGCATGTGTGTAAAACAAACAGAGACATTTTAACATTTGTTATGAGTTGCTGTGTTGAAATACAACGATAGCTTTTTGGACTTAAAAATATATCGACATTTTACATTGTTTTACTGTTTAGCTACAGAAGAAGCGTCTATAATATATATATATATATATATATATATATATATATATATATATATATATATATATATATATATATATATATATATATATATATATATATATATATATATATATATAAATGACATAGCACTTCAAGCTATATGACGGTCCTGTGTCAGGATACAGGTTCGATTCTTGTCGGAGGATACATATTTTCTATGAAATTTCTCGAAAATTCTGGACCAAAAAAACTGTAGTTAAATACTGTTTATTATACACAGAGCATTGACTTAAATAACTGTAGCTATAAAAATAACGTATAAACAGAAAATATAGGAAAATAATTGTTAGGCTTAGTCCATTTAATAATATAGATATAGATAGGTGTGTGTGTCTGTGTTTATGTATGTGTGCGTGTAGATACTTTAATATATATATATATATATATATATATATATATATATATCTGTGTGTGTGTGTGTTTGTGTGTGACTATTATGGGTGTTTAACTACATGTACTCATCTGTAAATATGTTTTGTTCGTGTGTTATCTTATATATTTAAACATTTATATGCGTGTTTCTCTATTTGTCAGTGCAGTGGTCAGCGGGTCGGTCACGCAATGGACAGTCGTTGAAATTGCTTGGAGTGCTTAATATTAAATGTCAACTCCTGTTGGGTCATTAAATGTCGAAATTCGTGTTTATTATAATTATTTACTATGGGTATCTCTGCTTAATTCGCTGAAAAAAAAACACAACATGGCATGATAAAAAAAGGCTCCAAACTTAAAGCAGTTTTATCGCCAAAATGTTTATATTATGAGGAAAGAGCAAAGTAATTCTTTTATTATTTTATTAAATTTTGGAATCCTTTCTAGCACGTAATATTTACGACTAGCAGCCATACCCAGCTGGTCGATCAGAAAAACGTTCAACTTATTGTTGGCTACAACTGAGTGAAGTTTGTATTAGATTGCTTGAAAATTGAGGGAGTTTTTAGTTTAAAATTTTTGTTGAAATCGATTTGTGTTGAAATCGATTTTTCGTTTTTCGCTTTTTTTTCCGCTAAACGCAGTGGCGTAGAAATAAAAATGAGGTATCGTTTAACTCGTCATGGTGTAAGTAACCGACATACCGAGTTTGAACGAAATCGAAGGAAAAGTTGAATTTATCGATTTTTTGATCGGCTTTATCGGTTATCGACTTTTTTTTAAATTATCGATTTTTACGCTAAGAACCTATCTCTTACATTGTATAATGTATGTGTCAAGTTTGATCAACATCGGTTGGATAGATCTCAAGTGAAAAGGTATCTCACAGACAGACAAACAGACATACTCTGGGTTATAGATATAAACTAGCAGTAGAGCCCGGCGTTGCCAGGGATGTAACAGTAAGAGATAGATCAAGTATCGACCATCATAAAGACTGAAAATTAAAATTGACAAAGATTATTGTTTAAGGTTGACGGACACGCATGTCTTAATTAGTTTTTTATTTTTACGAATTGGTCAAACCCAAACTCAAACAAAAACATTGTTTTCAATCGTTATGAGTCTATTGATTGAATAGAATTTTATTATAAACAATTGTGTTGTAAATGGAATTTTTAAAGCATTCTGAATGTAAAAATAAAGAAAAAAGTGTGCAAGACAATAAGAAACACTACCTGCCAAAAAAAAGTGAAGTTTTGTTGAAATCGGTTGAAAAATGTAGGAAATCCGATCCCATATATAAACGAACACACACATACACACACAAAAACAACCTGGGTTTTTTATAATAAGTATAACTCGATTTGAGTTGTCCTCCTTTCGTTCTCGTGATGCCTCTTAATCGTGTTTTCAAATTGATTTCGTGCAAAAACCATTGTGTTTTTTCCAATTTTTTAAACTATCAGAACCATCACTAAAGGTAATTTTACGTAGTCCTGTGAAGTTTTGTTTGAAATCGGTTTGCAAAATGTAGGAAATCCGATCCAATATATAAACGTACACACACACACACACACACACACACACACACACACACACACACACACACACACACACACAATCTGCGTTTTATAATAAGTAAGATTAGTGTTTTAGCGCCTTTTTCGGCGAAAAACACATTGAATAGAAAATTCTTGCAAAAAATAAAACTTTTAATCCATCGTTATCGCCATCATTTTACGGCCTACTACCCCTTGTTCCATTCAAATCACACACCACATTCATCATAACCATTTTAACTATAACGCTCTTCCTTTTGTGGATCTTAAACCTTGTTTGGGGGAAACTTGAATGTACTTCATTTAAAAAAAAAAAAAAAAAAAACATTACCATAAGACTAAAACACCTAAAGATTTGATCGCATGTCAGCATAAAAAAGTAGTCTGTCTGATCAAGGTTCGGGGGCGTCGGTGAGAATCGAACTCACTATATTCAACTATGTTCTTACCGAAAAAAAAAACTGCATCATTATTTTTTAATACAATATTCTTCAGGACGTTGGTGATCATGGCTCTCCACATCTTCGTTTCCTTTAATAACTGAATTTCTCGAGAAAGAACTGTTTTTTCTCCTTGACTTTTCCGCAGTTTCAAATTCAGATTGGTATTTCCCCTAAACTGGCTGCCATTCAAGACTAGAGAAAACATTTTACTCGAGAGTAACCGTGTGTTGGAATTGGGTGGAGGCGAGAAGAGATAGGCTCATGCCTTTCTCAAGGTCATTAGTGCGAGGTGAAGGCCGGAATTTAAACTCAGCTCGCTGAACTCTTTATCTGCGTCAGGTGACCCTTACGGTATACGCACAGGTCATTTTAAGGCAATCTCGGCCTGATATAGAGTATGCTGACTGCTTTCCTTGCAGAGGGGTAAGACCGCCCATCTACTAAGTAAATGATTATAGAGAAAATATAAACAATCAATATTTACCTATTCCCGAACCAAGCAAATGCTTCCAGACCCAAATTTAATAATAATAATAAGAAGAAGAAGAAGAAGAGCAACAACAACAACTCCAACTCGAATTCCTCAAAAGTCCGGTGAAAATTTAACGGTGTCCGTATTTGAATTTTCAGATGAATGTTAATTTTTAAGTCAATGGTTGAGTAAGGTCATGGCGACTTCTACGACAATAGAATATCTGTAAGTATTCGCCTCTCGCATCGTTAAATATTTGAGCTTAACAACTTTTAAAAAAATATTGCAATAACAATCATAAATATGACTGTTAGTCAGTATTTTAAGAAGTAAGGGGGTACAAATGATAAGCTTTGAAATTGGCAACATTTTTTCATTTTACTGGAACAGCCGTTAAAAACTTGTTTTTCTTTCTTTCATTTTCTCAGTGAAATCAAGGGACGTCTTTCCTCTCTTTCCACACAATCAAAATAGAACATTATTTCTGAAGTATTGGCAGGAGACGTTAAACACTTCTTTCTATCTATCTATCTATCTATCTATCTATCTATCTATCTATCTATCTATCTATCGTTTTCCCACTGAAACCAAGTAGGGTCTCTTCCTCTCTTTCCACACGATCAAAATGGAATAGAACATTATTTCTGAAGTATTGGCAGGAGATATGAAACACTTCTATCTATCTATGTGTCTGTCTGTCTGTCTATCTATCTATGTCTCTTTCTTTCGTTCTATCTATTTATACCCCTTTCTTTCTTTTTTCTTTTTTTCTTTCTTTCTTTCTATCTATGTATCTCTCTATTTCTGTCTCTATCTAGTTCTGTCTTTCTATCTGCCTGTCTGATTCAGTACCTCTCTTTCTTTCTCTCTCTCTCTCTCTCTCTCTCTCTCTCTCTATATATATATATATATATATATATATATATATATATAATCTTTCATTTTCTTACTGAAAACAAGTAATGTCTTTTCCTATCTTTCCACGCGATCAAAACAGAATAGTCTATTATTTATCATGTATCGGCAGGGCGGAACGGTCGTGCGAATAAAGCAACTAGCTAACGAAGGGAGGGACAGATACAATTATTATATAGATAATAATAATAATAATAATAATAATAATAATAATAATCTGATTTAAACAAGTCGACATGGGTTGACGTCAATCCAGCAAACCCTAGCCAAACCCCAGTCAGTCTCCTTTAAATAACTAAGTTTCGTTTAGTAAGATTACATTAAGAGGATCCAACCTACTAAACACTTCAGATACATCGACGTATAGATCAGTCATAACGAATTAAATATAAAAGAAAAAGAAATTAAACATAGAATAGGCTATGACAGGGGTAGTTTCTCCCAATACTGCAAATTGCTACAAAACCAAAACATCAACATGAAAACTCGAGTCATGCTCTTAAATAGCCTCGCTAGATCAAGTCTTTCATTTGGTTAGAATGCATGGCGTCAAAGCCGTTCAGAAATATCAAAACTATCAGCTGTATACAACCGCTTTCTGAGATCAAAGATGGAAAAAGGCTTTGAGCAAGTGAAGACCATGGATCCTGGCAAAGACCACCTCTCTTTGAATATTGTAGACTGGCGCTACAGAATCACAAAGAACTGTACCAAATAACAGAAACCACATCACTTGAGGACTACCAACAGCAGCAACAACTAAAATGAATAGCACATGTAAAGTGAAAATAACGACATAATCAAGATGTTGGCATTCCTCAATACTTCAAATTGAAGGCTAGGAAGGACACTGCCATCAGTACTGGTAAGAGCGATAACAGCTACTGGACTATTTTCCTAAAAAAAAAAACACAAGTGTTTTAAGAGAAAGATTTTATAAATTTAAACCGAACTAGCTGTACTAGGCCAATGAACGCCAAATGTTTCCTTGTAGGGAAACGGCTGATATCAGCATTCAGTCAGTTATGTGCCAAGCGTAATACACATTTAGGCGATCATGTATCTTTCGATACATGACTGACGAGGCAGATTTTTCCCCGCAGCAGGTTGCCATTTCTTTCTACGGTAGACCAGATGCCATCCAAGGCTACAGAACCTGGTCTGCCCTGCTATTTACCCATAGCTGTGAGAGAGAAGAAGAGGATTCATACCTTTCCCAAGGGTATTAGCACGTAAGTGAATTTCAGTCAGTTAAATGCCATGCGTGATACACGCTTAGGCGATCATGTATCTTTCGATACATGACTGTCGAGGTAGATTTTTTTCCCGCAGTAGGTTGCCATTTCTTTCTGCGGTAGACCAGTTACCATGCAAGGCTATAGAACTCGGTCTGTCCTGTTATTTTCCCATAGATGGGGGGGGGAGAAGTACTGTTACCATTTACTTACATGATACATAAAATATCAATTTTCTCACTATCGCTCTGCAACAGGCGCCCCATACATTTTATGTACGAGAGAAAAAGAGTGCACGGTGAAAGAGAGAGAGAGAGAGAGAGAGAGAGAGAGAGAGAGAGAGAGAGAGAGAAGATAAGGAGGAAACGAAATATAGTAATAGCGATATTAGCGACAGCAGATCCCGGGATGCTAACGAAGCTGTGGCGGTCGACGTGCGCCGATTGGTGCACATTTCCTGACATTACCCGCATGAGACAGCCTAAGCCAATGGGCGGGTCTCACTTGGAACTGCGCATGGCCACACATACCTCTGACGCCATTTTCACTATCTGTCCCAATAAGCCAACATCACCGTTCCTGGCAATGGTATCTTTGCCCACCCCCTCTACAGAATAAATTATACCAACAAAGGAGGAATTAGTTATTTGCTATCTGCTTGTTTTACAGTAAAAAGAAAGAAATTAATTAGAAAACTAACCTCATTATAATATGAATAGGATACGCCGATAGCGGAAAATAAAATCGGCGGAACAAGTTCAATCTCTGGCCTTGCCTGTTGCATTCACTTTCGCAGGCATTTATCCGTCTCTGAGTTACAGGCAGTCGAGGAGCACAACAACACTAAAGTCATGGCGGGAAACCACTTTCCCAAGAAGTAATGGTCATTCACGCATATTAAAGACAAAAGGAAGCTGTAAAGAGCCGTGATCGACTCCGCTTAAAAATAAAATTATTTGTAATTTTCTTTAATAGGTTTTAAAGAGATATGACTATAATCATAGTAGCGACTGACCTGCAATATCTGGGTTCGAATAAAAGAACTAGGATTTCGAATGCTGATTTTCAAGGCAGGTATACCCTCTTACTTGAAGGATTTAGCAAGACACATCCCAACTTTGCATCTGTAATCTTTTCATTATCGAGTCTCATGCTGTGGAACAATGGTTAACGAGCTAGATTATTGCTACTGAGTAATGAGTTCACTCCTCATTGGACGCTCTTAATTTGTGACCTTGTGTCACAACTAAGTTACGCATTGTATTTTTAAAAAGCTTTCTGGTTTTACTCCGAGGTGGAAATTTGCCAAAGTGTCCAGTAATGGGGAACATGTCCCCTACGCCACATCTAACTCAAAGGAGCAGTGTGGGGTGGGGGATATCTAAGTCAGTCCCTGATGGCTGCGGCGTCAAAAAGAAAATAAGGAAATGCTAAAGAAACTGGACAATGTTTAGCATCACCCGGAATCGACGTTCTCTATATATAACCTTGTATCAAAGCTACCATCGTGATAGTGGCAAACAGCTTCTACCTTTCATTTTATCGTCGGCTTGATAAATGTTGAATATCGATTATAATCTATATTTAGAAATAAGCCAATAATCCATGGTAGAAAATGCTCCCCAAGTATTTACTAAGTACGGTACATAAGGTCATGTTTGAAGGCTCGGGCTCCCTACAGTATGATCTATATTTTTACGGAAAGTGCTCAGACGAACTATATTCCATAGTTCCACGAGTTCTAACCTTCTCGGCTAAGAGCCGCCATACTATTCACATTGTAGCAAATCATCGTATTCCATTGGTGAAGTAGAGTTTCCACTCGAACAGCTTCTTCCCACCAACCGCTGCTTTGTGGAACCGACTCCCAAGAGGGTGCTTCCCTGATTACTACAATTTTAATCTGTTCAAATCTACTTTTAACCGTAATCTTCCCCACATATCCGCATACACTGTGCTTCTTACTCTGACACCCTCTATCGTGAGTGGCTCCCGGGTCTTGTACAGGATGACCTTCATTGTAATTTTTTTAAAGAGAGAGACTGGCAGCGCGTTGGTTCTCGTTTGCTTCTACTAACAAGCAGGAATTTTTGTTCTCCTGATGATGGCCATGCTGGCCGAAACTAATCGAAAAACCTAATTGAAATAATAAAATAAAAAAAATTAATATACAACCCAGTGTGTCTGAAAAATTTAATTTTTCAATATTTTTTTATCTCTCTTTCTCTCTCTCTCTCTTTATATATATATATATATATATATATATATATATATATATATATATATATATGAATCTCTGTACATGCCATATATATACATGAAAATGCTAGATTTTTATTTTATTGTCCAAAATACACATATATGCCAAAACAGTATGTCAGTTATGTGCCATGTGAGATACACACTTAGGCGATCATGTATCTTTTGATACATGACAGACGAGGCAGATTTTTTCCTCGCACTAGGTTGCCATTTCTTTCTGTGGTAGACCAGTTACCATCCAGTTGCTATAGAACCCGGTCTGTCCTGCTATTTACCCATAGCTGGGGGGGGGAAGAAGAGGATTCATACCAAGAGTATTAGCACGTAAGTGAATTTAATGGATTCATCTGGAATTCGGCTCTCCGATTCCTCAATCCGAGCCGCTATCCATTACTCCATCGTGCCACCAAATATACACATGAAAAAAATACTCTAAATTACTATTCATATCAATCTACAATAATTAATTACTTAAAATCTCTCATCTTATTTAGGACGTGGATGATTATGGGTCTCTATAATTTCCTTTTCCCTGTGCTCTAAGCAACCTTTGACTATCGCTGTTCCTCTTTCTCCCGGCTCTGCTATCCATTCCGTTCGCATAGATCTGTTCGGTAGACTACCAATATGTCCCCACTTGTCTTTAATATGTCCTGTGAGTGTTAAATTCTCCAGGTCCTCCGTCCTTATTATGTGTCCCAAGTTTCTTTCTGTTTGTAAGTATATGTGACAATCCATGTCACGAGCCAGACACTCTTAGATTATCCCATTTTTTAACCAGGTTAAGATATCCGCAAAATAAGAACAGGAACACCATTTTCGATGAATCTGAAGATTTCGCATTTGGATGCTATTTCGCGAAATGGTATTTACATCTTAAAAATATAATAATTCAATGACTTTTTTTTATCTTAGCATGTAAATGTGCAACTTATACACTATCTATTATTTTCTTTTTATTTTATTTGCTTTGATTTTTGGTGTATACTCATTCATTTCTGCTTCCAACCACAGACCTAAGGCCAGAAATGGCTTCATGACATTTTCCACTAAGCATTTTTGAGAAAAGAAAAAAAGAAAAAAAAATCTAAGATCACACACATTTTACATAGATAATATGTGAGCTGTACTTGAGATTACAATTTTTTGTATTTTTTAAAGGCTAGCAGGAATCCTCTTAATGAGTCTATCGGAACCAATTCCAATCAAATCAAAGACCCCAACTACAACTGGAATTATTGATGCCTTCATGTGCCATATTTTTTAGATTTCCACTTCAAGGTCCTTGTATTTTGATAGCTTTTTGGAGATCTTCAAAGATACATTACAATCTGCAGAGACTGCCATGTCAATACGAAAGTATATTCTGTCCTTGTAGTTTTTGATCAAGAAGTCTGGGTGATTAGCTTTAATTGTTCCTGTCTGAGTGTAT